GGGGGGGGGCGTGGGGGGTCCAAAAATCGTTTAGTTTAGAAGTCCAAATATTTATAGGTTAACATGGCAAATACTCCAAGTGAATTTATGACGAACAATATGATTATAGCGCCTCCATTACCCGGCAGGTATTCATATTTCAGAGGTTGCAACTATTGAACTTTTAATCCTTTCAGCAGGCACTAATCTACATCTTTGTTGGTCAGACGAAATAAGCTAATTACGTCTCCTTATCTCTAAAGGTCAATAGGAAATCAGGACAAATATAAGTCAGCTGTTTTTCACAGATAAATACCCCTTAAAGGGACTGTAAGCAAAATATCAAGTGACCCTCAATACTATGCTATGCCCGATTCAAAACACCGATACCCTTAAAAAGCTTTGTCTGATCAATTATAAATTATTACTGCAGGAAAAGATTAGAAACTATAATCACTTTGAAACCTAGAAAAGCGAAAATATCTTCTATATTTGAATACAATAGTTCCAACCTCTGATATTTTAACAATAGTTCCAACCTCTGATATTTTAACAATAGTTCCGACCTCTGATATTTTAACAATAGTTCCGACCTCTGATATTTTAACAATAGTTCCAACCTCTGATATTTTAACAATAGTTCCAACCTCTGATATTTTAACAATAGTTCCAACCTCTGATATTTTAACAATAGTTCCGACCTCTGATATTTTAACAATAGTTCCNTATAGTATATAGTATAGTATATAGTATATAGTATATAGTATATATAGTATATATAATATATAATAGTATATATACAATTAAATTGCCTCTTTTAAGAATCACCTGCAAAAATATTACCGACGCCATTTTTAAAAAAAAGTTTTCCAAGTAATAAAATTAATTTTCCTGGACAAAATGTTTCACCTGAAAAAAAACACAGTGAAATGATAAATCGTTTTTACTTTTTTGGATTTTGTAGTTGTAGCAAATAACTGATATAATTTCTATAAGAAATCCGTGGAAAAACTAATGACTCATGAACAACATTTTGTCGTTTAAAGCAATAAAAGTCAAGTATTTTCTTACTTTTTTCTGGGGACTTACTTATTCTATAGGATAAGTGATGGCGAGATAAGAAACATTGTGCAAGCAGAGCTTGGTGTTGCTTGGTTAAGGTAAGTTTAACGGGACTGTAAACGTAATTTCGCCTGGCGTTGCAATCTCTTTGATGATGACTTTGTAATATTTTAAAATCAAAGTTGACATTAGTGCACTTGAAAGTAATTTAGCTAGTTAGCATTTTAATTCTGTAAAGATTATCGGAAGACGACATTTAGAAATGTACAACAAATAAAATTTTGCCTAAAATTTGTCTTCTATGTTTTAAAGAAGGTAGCTTTTAAATATTTTTAATTAGGATTGCTGCCACGGAATTTTTGTCACGCAAGCTAAATAAAGAATGCAAGCACAGGTAAAGAATAGATGGATTTTTTAAAAGAAATGTTTTTTCTTTAACAAAAAGTCAGAACTGTTGTGTTGATATCAAGCTAGACACGTGACCGGTTTCATTTAATTTCACTCCATATTTCATCCCACAGTCGTCATACCTTGAAAGGATATATTTCATTGAGGGATTTTAAAATGCCCACATTGGATATCGTGATCAAATTAAAGCGTTCGAGATTTGAGATAGTCCACACAAAGATCCCACCTTTGAGCAAGTGAATTTTTATGATTTGTAAAACAATACAGGAACCCAATTTTTCGTTTTATTGAGACATAAAACTGTGAAATAAGAAGACATCGATATTTAATCGAGCTTGAGTATTTAATATTGATATAAGCATGCAGGCAGTTAGTTTTAAGCAGTGCTTAGGATCCGTTTAATTTTGATGCGGATCCGGATCCTAGATCCTCACTGGAAAAAAATGGATCCGGACTAGATTAGAAATTTTTACATATTTATCATATCTGGATTGAAAAGTATTTAACGTTATTTTATAGATTTCAATTAAATCATAGCAGAGTCTTCGATTTACTGAATTTTTTCAACAAAAAATGATTTTCAAATTTTTTGTTTTATTTTTTTCGCTTATTTTATCCTAAACTTGATGAACCATTCAAAAATGAGAAACTTTTTAAATATCTCTTTTTTCAAAGGTTCACATTTGGGTTTTATGAGTAAAAAAGTTTTAATTGCAGTTTTTGGTTGATATTTTACTCCTTGGATCCGGATCCCTGGATCCGCATCATATTTTTGCGGATCCAGATCTAGGAAGCCAAAATCTTGCGGATCCAACGGATCCGGATCCGGATCCTAAGCACTGGTTTTAAGAGTAGCTGAAGTTAAATGGACCTGTTCCCTGCACAATTGCTGTGTTTCATGTTCTTTGGACAATAATAAAGTATCAAAATTTCAAACTTAAGTCTGATAGTCGTCTTTATATTCTACGACTTTATGGGTCTGACAGCACAGCCCACTGTGCTGTTTAATTAGCAGGACTTTAATGAAAAAAATTAAAAGGTATACACAGATTAAAAAGAAACCCCTTAAAATGGAGGGATCCTTCTAATTCTGGAAGGATTCTTCAAACTGAAGGATCCTTCAAACTGGAGGATCCTTCTAATTGGAGGGATCGTAAAAACAAATTGGAAATTGAAAAATATTGATGAATGGGTTTCTAGAAATTTTCCTTTCATAAGAAAACTATAAAAATCAACAAGAACAAAAACATTTTTAATCTAGGAATTTCTTGCATTGTCCTATTTCTTCGCAGCCATCAAAAGATGGTTATCAATAGAAAACGATTTCATAAGAACCTCATTTTAAAATTTTAATATTTTAGACTTATAAAAAAAAAAAAAAAATTGTCAGCATAGATCGATTAAAAAATTATTTTGATTGTACAGTGCTGGTACAGCGCATACTACTCATTAAGCTGAGTATAAAGACGATATTTAGGCTTTTAGTATTCAGAACGCTAAAGTTCTATAAAGCCATAGAGAATAGAATATATATATAGAGAGGAATTAACTAGAAAAAAGTGTAAAACGGCCATTTTGTTGTACTGTTTCCATACTGCAGGTGTACTTCACATATTTATGCTATATAACCTGTTGGGCCCTGGAATATCATTTTATAGAAAATCTAAAATTATTGTTAAAAGAAAACCAAATTATGAAATAGGCTGGTTTCATAATTGACCAATGATCATTTCACATAGACTCTATGCCTTCCACTTTACAAACGATGATTTTCCGTTATAACTATAAATCAAATGATGTTTTTATTCACCTAATTCATTATAAAGTTTATTTAACAGTTTAAAAAATTCGAAATTGAAATGGATAGTCTAGGGAACATACTGTATTAATGTACTCTACTGCATATAATTTGTGAACATTTACATGATTTGTACACTTTGAACTCCCTTTCAGGGTGAAAGGGACTGAAAAAATTCATACCGAGAGATTCTTTTAATTCCTCTCTAATATATATTCTATTCTCTATGTATATAGCATGTTCAATGTTCATTGTTGTCTTTTTTTTTAAAGGTTGCCATAGATTTTGTAATTTGCAATTGATTTTTTAAGCAGTTGCCTGAATATTTTTGGATATACATTGAAGATATAATTAACGATTAAAAATTACAACATTTTCTTCAATGAAGACGACAATTATTTTTAAGTTTTCTGGTGAACACTGTATATTTTATAGAATATTATGTACTGTGAACTACAATGCTGCTAGGCGGGGAACGTATTCAAAACATGCTGTAGAGGTATGTACAGTGTACAGTGTACAGTAAGGTGTAAACAAATGATTACTAATTTTTAAAAATGGTGTGTGCGATGAATGCAGTAACATTGCACATTTTCACTGTTGTACTGTACAACAGTAAAGTACAGTACAACAGTACAATTAACCAATACAGCACAACAGTACAGTACAACAGTACAGTACAAAAGTACAGTACAACAGTACAGTACAACAGTACAGTACAACAATACAGAACACCAGTACAGAACTACAGTACAGTACAACAGTACAGTACAACAGTACAGTACAACAGTAAAGTACGACAGTACAGTACACAGTACAGTACGACAGTACAGTACAACAGTACAGTACAACAGCACAGTAAACAGTACAGTACAACAGTACAGTACAACAGTACAGTACAAAAGTACAGTACAATAGTACAGTACAACAGTACAGTACAACAGTACAGTACAACAGTACAGTACAACAGTACAGTACAACAGTACAGTACAACAGAACAGTACATTAGTACAGTACAAAGGTAAAGATCAAGAGTACAGTTCAACAGTACAGTACACCAGTACAGTACAACAGAACAGTACAACAGTACAGTACAATGGTAAAGTTCAAGAGTACAGTACAACACTACAGAAAAACAGTACAGAACAACAGTACAGTACAACAGTGAAGTACAACAGTACCGAACAAAAATACAGTACAAAATAACAGTTCAACATTACAGTACAAAAGTACAGTACAACAGTAAAGTACAACAGTTCAGCACAAAAGTACATTTCAACAGTACAGTACAAAATTACAGTAAAGCAGTACAATACAACGGTACACTACAGCAGTACAGTCCAATAGTACAGAAAAGCAGTACAGAACAACAGTTAAGTACAACAGTACAGAACAACAGTACAGTTTAGCGGTACAGTACATAATATATCTAACATTCACCTCTTTCTCTTGACACTAGCTGATACAATTCTCAATTTCTAAAATCAATTTATAACAAAAAGGCAGTCAACATTAAAGAAATCCCAGTAATACTTTTTTCCCAATTATGAGACTTTAAACCAGTATTATCTCAAAAGTTAATAAGGCTTTTTCTTAAAATTGTTGATTTCCTGAAAGTGTTATTATTATTGTAACAATATAATATTTTGAATTATAATACAAGACATAATTGTGATTAATGATGAGCATTCTCGGTTTATTTAAAGTTCAATGGCGTCATCAAAGTAACATCCTTTCTAAGTGACTCTGTAGGAAAAGCAGTCAATTTTCAATTAAAATAAGAAATTTGCTAAGATTGAAAACGACTTTTAAGATTCTGAGATTTATTTGAATTTCCTCTTGTTCTACAATACTAATCTCTTGGGTTTTAAGGTTGGATCATTGTTTCTTATCAGCCATCTGCCTTACAATATGTCTGCTAAAAAACAGCTGATTTCAGCTGCAAGGGATGGAAGGCTATCAGCTTTATATTACCAAGGTAAAACTTTTTGTCAGAGGAAGAGAATGTGTGTGCTAATCTGTACGTGATGTGTCAGGATTGGGAGAAAACTGAATTCGTGTTCTAAACTCAAAACAAGATATTTCCTACTTTATACTTTTTTGATCTCTCTTTCGCTCTTGTTGGCGGAATTTTATTGAGAGACTAAAATACGACTGAAAACATTCCAGTTTATAATATTCCGACATAGTTATTTTTTCGTGATTTTGTGTTCATATCCAACCACCTTGGGGGAGTGGGACACATGACGATTGCATAAATAAATATTTTTTTTCCATTTCTAAAATTAAAGGAATTAAGTCTCTGTTACAAACGCAAATGTATTAAAAACCTGATGGGGTAAACCTTTGATATTTTAAACTTATTCGATCCATCAGAATTTATAGTTTGTTAGAGTTGTGGTGAAGACTAGGTTTCAAGAAGGTTCTTGAGGGAAAAGGATCGAGAAACCAAGTTTTTTAGAAAAAAATATTTGTTTGTTTAAACCATTCAAATAAATTCCATGAATTTTTGTGAAAACAGTGTTTCTTCACGCTTTGGGATTGAATGCACTAAATCTTTACCGACAAAAAAATGACCTTTTTACATAGTTTAACTCAGAATTTTTCAACTTTTTTTAATGGGTTCTATACTTATAAGACCTAAATCTCAGAAATAATAAAAAAAAATTAAATAGCAATAAAGTATGCGATTGTAGTTTTAAAGAGGTCCATATTAATTAATTAAAAACTAAAAATCTGCATCATTCCATCATCAAGAGGTTTAAAAAACGACGTTTTATAAATTCTTTCGATGTCTCCGAAGCTCTGTGTTATACTGTCAAATTATCTGTGAAATTTTTGTTAAAATACTTAATAAATGACAAAATATAAATAAAAAACTAAATCTTGAATTAACAGTCAGTGCACTGCTCCTTCAGTTTTTTTAAACAATCATTCTTTCTCTAATGGATAAAACTGAATGTATAATAGATAAAAATGGATAAAAATGAGTGTATAATGGATAAAAATGGATGTATAATGGATAAAAATAGATGTATAATGGATAAAATGGATGAATAATGGATAAAAATGGATGTATAATGGATAAAAATGGATGTATAATGGATAATAACTATAGCTTACTGGGCTATTCAAACAGCCATTTTTCTTGTAAATCCTTTTACTAATATTTTTTGTGCTTTTAAATTACCTGGGATAAAAATACTTTCGTTCGATTTCCACAATTTTGATTAAAAAAATAAACTTTGAACGAAATTTTTTATATCCAATTTAATGCAAAGAAATGGCAGTCCACATTTTGGAACTGCCAGGACTAAGGAAATTTTCTGGTGGAATTATTGTTGAAAGAAAAACATTTATAAAAGTAGGGCGAAAAATTGATATCGCAAGTTATTTAAAAGATCAAATCTTGAAATTTTTAAAAACAAAATTGAAATTTTTTACTTAAAAAAGTATTTGTGAGTTAGTTCGGTAAATTCAAAGCCCAGAGTGTTGCGATACTTTCTCTGAAACTTGCTGTAACTTTCAGAGCAGATACAATGTTTGTCATAATGTATGTGATGTTTAGTCAAGTTTGTACAAAAACGAATTAAGACCAGATAAGTTTATTACCCAGCAAGTTAAATAGTCAAAAGCTCAAATTATTCACAGGAAAGGGGGCGCGAAGCCTAGCACTTGATATTTCTAATTTTTCAAAATTTACCATGTTACATTAATACACATCTTGTAAACTTTAAGACTGAAATTTTGATTAGATCAAAAGATTTAGCCATAGATAAAGATAGATTGCGCATAAGACGACATTTTTCATCTTGAAAGATATAAATGTGCAGAGATGTTTTAAAGATATTCCTATTATAAAGATTAACTAGGTCGGTTGTGAACATTGGCTGTTCTTATGTCATTGAGAACGTGATCTCAAAGTTCACAAGGCCTCATTTACGGAGTGACGTTTTCAATTCACAACGGTACCACTTAATCTTTTTAATTCCTTTTCACGTCACATTTACAAAGAACCCATAATTGATGATTTTTATTTATAAAAGATATTTCACATTTATTCTCGATCAGATACAGTATTTAAGGGGACCGTAGAGGCTTTATAACGATGCAATAATGCAGGAGGGAATTTTACATTGCCTACTTTTTTAACGATTTGAATTCGGAGGGGGGAGTAGGGGTGTTTCAGACATGAGAAAATGATGATTTAAAATTTAAATGATCTTTAATTTGGTTGAATTTGAACAAATCCAAATGCGTCACATGCTAATCTACAGGGTGTCCCAAAAAACATGGGAATTCAGTGAGAATTGTATATCGTCTTTGCTATGAATTAGCATTGTAATACCTAATTTCAAAAGCCATAATATTATTANTTGTCTGATCAATTATAAATTATTACTGCAGGAAAAGATTAGAAACTATAAACACTTTGAAACCTAGAAAAGCGAAAATATCTTCTATATTTGAATACAATAGTTCCAACCTCTGATATTTTAACAATAGTTCCAACCTCTGATATTTTAACAATAGTTCCAACCTCTGATATTTCAACAATAGTTCCAACCTCTGATATTTTAACAATAGTTCCGACCTCTGATATTTTAACAAAAGTTACAACCTCTGATATTTTAACAATAGTTCCGACCTCTGATATTTTAACAAAAGTTCCAACCTCTGATATTTCAACAATAGTTCCAACCTCTGATATTTTAACAATAGTTCCAACCTCTGATATTTTAACAATAGTTCCGACCTCTGATATTCTAACAATAGTTCCAACCTCCGATATTTTAACAATAGTTTCACTCATCAATTAGAACAAAAAGTTTTATTTAAAAAGATCTTAAGAATTGATTTTTAGAATGCTTGATGTAGAGATAAAAGAACCAATTAAACTTCAAGGTAAAATATTTAATTAAATTTTAAAATTTTAAGAAAATTTTTTTTAGAGAAATATTTGTTTCAGGAGGCTCCCGTAAAAAACGCGACGTTTGCAGGTTAAATTAAATTTTAAATAATTCAAAATTAATACTTTTTTTAATCGATCATCCAGTTTTGGTTGGAGTAATATGATCATTTATCACTATGTCTCGAGTAATAAAGAATGGTCAAAAAATTGAAATATGCAAATAGTTTACTGCAAGAACAAAGGGGACATTTTGTTCACTGAAGTAAAATATATAATAAAGCTCTTCGCTATATTTTAATGTTAGCAAAAGCTGGTCAAACGGTTATACCGAATGGGTTGACTGAGGGAACCCATAGAAAAAAAAACATTTTTTAAATTAAAAATTATAACTCCACGGGCAACGCCGGGCACTTCAACTAGTAATATATATATAAATACAATATGACAAAAAGGGACATTTATTTTGTAATAAAATATTAGTTATTAAGAAATCATTAATTATATTAAAAGTAATAAGCATGAAAGTATGATAATATATTGGTTGGAACATGCTAAGCAAAGCTACGCTAATAGAATCGTCATTTTCATTATTTATTATATTGCAATCATAAATATAAACAATTTGATATATAACTTTTTATTTACAACTACGCACCCATCTTCTACTTCACCTGTGAACATTTTCTCTTTGTATACATTATTATGACAATAACAAAAAAGTTCGCGGATTAAAATATATTTTTTCGTGGATTTTTAAAATTATGCGAAAAAATAAAATCTTTGGAGACAATTTTTTGTAACTTTGAGCATCCATTCTGTTACCATAAACAATTTGGGCCTGATGCTAGCTGATACAATTCTTAATTTCTAAAATTAATTTTGAGATTACAAAAAGGCAGTCAACATTAAAGAAATCCCAGTAATACTTTTTTCCCAATTATGAGACTTTAAACCAGTATTTTCTCAAAAGTTAATAATGCTTTTTCTTAAAATTGTTGATTTCCTGAAAGTATTATTATTATTGTAACAATATCATATTTTGAATTATAATACAAGACGTAATTGTGATTAATTTTAAATTATAATACAAGACATAATTGTGATTAATGATGACTATTCTCGGTTTATTTAAAGTTCAAAGACGTCATCAAAGTAACTTCCTTTCTGAGTGACTCTGTAGGAAAAGCAGTCAATTTTCAATTAAAAAAAAGAAATGTGCTAAGATTGAAGACGACTTTTAAGATTCTGAAATTTATTTGAATTTCCTCTTGTTTTACAATATCAATCTCTTGGGTTTTAAGGTTGGATCATTGGTTCTTATCAGCCATCTGCCTTGCAATATGTCTGCTAAAAAACAGCTGATTTCAGCTGCAAGGGATGGAAGGCTATCAGCTTTATATTACCAAGGTAAAACTCTGATTCAAATTATTTTTTTCAAATTACAAATAAATTTGTCCAGTTTTCTTGAATTTAAAGCAAATTACAAGGTAAATAAAAAGATATTTTTTTAATAACAAAATAAACAAAAACCATGTTGCAAAAGAAATGTTTTAATATTATATTTTCAAGATCTTGCTTTAATCAAATATTTGAGTGTATAGAAAATGTAAAATGTTGATTTCGGATTGGAATTTTTTTAAGAAAGTAAATGAAAATATTTCCGGTTGTGAAAAACATTCTCTGTAAAAATTGTAATGAAAATTATATTGAAAATTGTTTGAACCATAATATTTTTCAGTTAATAACAAATGTCGTAGAGAAAAAAGATGTCCAGATTCTAAATAAGACTAAATGGGAACAAACTCAAATTCATTATTTTATTATATTATTTTATATTATTGCAATGAATTTGCGACTTTGTAATTGTAACATATCCTGCTTTATATCTAACTTGTAAAAATGAAGATCAGGATTTTAAACCTTTTTTTTCAACACAAAGTATTTATATTAAAAGTGTTTTTTTGTCAGAGGAAGAGAATGTGTGTGCTAATCTGTACATGATGTGCCAGGATTGGGAGAAAACTGAGTTCACGTTCTAAACTCAAAACAAGATATTTCCTACTTTATACTTTTTTATCTCTCTTTCGCTATTGTTGGCGGAACTTTAATGAGCGACTAAAATACGACTGAAAACATTCCGGTTTATAATATTCCGACATAGTTATTTTACGTGATATATTTTTCATATCTTACCACCTTGGGGAAGTGGGACGCATGACGATTGCATAAATAAATATTCTTTTTCATTTCTAAAATTAAAGGAATTAAGTCTCTGTTACAAACGCAATGTATTAAAAACCTGATGATGGGGTAAACCTTTGATATTTTAAACTTATTCGATCCAGCAGAATTTATTCGATCCATCAGAATATATTCGATCCATCAGAATATATTCGATCCAGCAGAATTTATAGTTTGAAAAATCTACGACCTTGAGGTGCAAAGTTACGAGGATTAAAAAATCAGAGTTGTGGTGAAGACTAGGTTTCAAGAAGGTTCTTGAGGGAAAACTAGAAACCAAGTTTTTTAGAAAAAATATTTGTTTGATTAAACCATCCAAATAAATTCCATGAATTTTTGTGAATACAGTGTTTCTTCACGCTTTGGCATTGAATGCACTAAATCTTTACCGACAAAAAAATAACCTTTCTACATAGTTTAACTCAGAATTTTTCAAATTTTTCAATTGGTTTTATAAGACCTAAATCTCAGAAAAAATAAAAAATTTAAATAGCAATAAAGTATGTGATAATAGTTTTAAAGAGGTCCATATTAATTAATTAAAAACTAAATATCTGCATCATTCCATTATCAATAGGTTTAAAAAAACGACATTTATAAATTCTTTCGATGTCTCCGAAGCCCTGTGTTAAACTGTATTATCTGTGAAATTTTTGTTAAAATACTTAATAAATGACAAAATATAAATAAAAAACTAAATCTTGAATTAACAGTCAGTGCACTGCTCCTTCAGTTTTTTTGATCATATCAGTGCTAATGCCCCGTATCCGTTCTATCTCATTCTGTTGAATCTTGTGGAACTAGTTTAACGCGGCCAGGCATCGTCTTCCACACAATAACTTTTAAAATTTAAAAAAAAATTGTTTTGAGGTTAAAACAAAAAAATTTCGTTTTCAAAACATTTTTTTCTTTAAAATTTTTTTCTAGTCGTTTTGTTTTTCGAGAAACTATTGTTTTTCCAATTGTTTTTAAAAACGTTTTAAAAACGATATTTTTCGAACGTTTTAAAATGATGTCCATCCCTATGCCAAAAAATTATATTCCAAATAATAACTTAATATTTTCTGAAGATAACATTCAAACTCTTTACATTGTTATAACAATATTAAAACATTATAATATCTATGAATATGCTATTAATTGCTCAAACAAAAATCATTAAATACAAACAACCCGTTTTAACATTATAAAAATTCTATGATTAACAGCTTAAGCTCTTTAAACTATTTTTAAATTACCAAAAGTTCATGACATCAAGTAAACGTGTTTATGTTACAGTGAGAATCATAAAATTTTATTCAAAATGCCTTCAATTTACAGAAATAGACATTTATACATAATAAATACTAACCCCAAAAACTATTTTTTAGGCAATTTTTTCAAAAATGTGAATAAAAACATTTATAAACTGCGTCCGAACTTTTTCTGTTGTGCATTACTGAAAAAAGCATTGTTTCCGTTTTATGCGGATTAATATAACCGTTTTTTAATATCCTGTGATGGTCATATCCAGCAGGTATAATTTTAATTGATGGATTAAGCATTGATCCTTAATTTTTTAAGTCTCCCCATTGGATATCGAGATCAAACGTTCAAGATTAACGACCCTCCACACAAAAACTTCGGATAAAGTTATAATTTGATATTTTTAAATCAAGAATAATCAAATATCTTTAAAATAAAACCGTGACTACTGACTATAAGCTATCATAGTATTCTATAGAGTTATAAAGGGTCTGTTCACTATTTTTCAATTCGTCTGATTCAAAATTTAGACTTGATTGTGCAACTAGATCCTGCTTCCGTTTAGCGGCTGAGGGGAAGTAACTCATAAAAACCCAAAACAAGACAGCTCCAAACGCCTAGAAGTAAAAGTTTTGGTAATTTCTTATCAATTGTGCTGCCCCCACCCATAAAAAGAGAAACCTACCATGAGTATCTATTCATCTTATTTTTTATTATATGAATATTTATTCCTTAAAAACTGTTTAAGTTTAACGATCTATATCTTGCAAACATACAGGGTGCCGTTTTTTATATAATCATCGGTTTTGAATAAAATAAATTTTAAGGTTTATTTTGTGGCTGAGGTTTATTTTAGAAGAAAAGGATGGAATATTGATCTCACCTTAACTTTTTCACGTTTCACGTCAAACACTAAAGTAAGTTGCACAATTGCACGTAAGATTGAAATCTAATATGTTTTTTATCATAACTTCTCTTATTTAAGATCTATTGAGATTATCAAAAATGTTTTGAATGTATAATATGTAACCGAATAAAAAATGTTTATTAGAACTAGAGGAGCAACGGACTCATAAAGTCGTAACAGTAAGGTCAAGTATATTTTACCTTCTCCTCCTGCCCCTGGTTAGTTTGCAGTGGTTTGTACAAAAGTGAATTAAGACTAGATAAGTTTATTACCCTGCAGCAAGTTAACAAAAAATATAACAATTTCTAATTACAAATATTAACGTTGACAAATATAACCAAAACATTTTAATCACAGAAAAAACTCTTTATAATTATTGCGCTGATAATGCAAAAATAGGTATGGGTATTTTTCACTTTTTTGAAAATGACGTTGACTTTCAATGTTAAAAACGAAACAATCGTTTAAAAAAAAGAAACTAACAATAACTTTTAAAATTAAAAGAAAAAACTTAATTGTTAAAACAATTAGGGTTTAAACAAAAGTTTTTCGTTTTAAATCAAATAAGAAAACGAACTTATTTTTGGGTGTCAAACTTGATTAGTATTTAAAACTCAAAACTAAAACGAGAAAAACTATTTTTCCGATGGTTTTTAAAAACATATTTTTTCGAACGTTTTAAAGGGAGTGACGGGTCAGTTTCATTTGCCATAATACATTTGCCATAAGTAACACTTGCCATAAGTCACACTTGCCATAAGTTACACTTGCCATAATTACACTTGCTATAATTATTCTTGCCATAATTAAAATTAAATTTGGTTGCAATTAACAAACATAAATTTATATTCTTATTCTTTTTAAAAATCAGAAAATTATGACAAAAGTAATTATAGCCAGTTTAATTATGGCAAGTGTGTGTAATCATTATGGCAAGTGTAACTCATGGCAAGTGTGACTTATGGCAAGTGTAACTTATGGCAAGTGTTACTTATGGCAAAAGTATTATGTCAAGTGTAATTATGGCAAAATATTATGGCAAATGAAACTGAGGTGGGAGTGACCGGCTATGTAAGGTAGTCGAACTGACAATGCAGTGTTGTGGAAAACTTCTTTCGGATGCTTTTGAGACATATATAAAACTTTTTAAAGATCTGTAAATCCTGAGTTTGTTTGCAAATTCGACGTTCAAAACTCCTACTTTGGGGGTGGATACGTTTTCAGTATTAGTTTCTTTTTATTTATTAAACATTGACGACGAAAAATAAAGTAAAAATTATACAGTAATCTAATGAGATGGTTAGAAACATATTTCTTAATAGAAATTTGTCAATAAATCAATGCTAGAATCAATTATTTCGTTTTCATCATTAAATTGAATTTCTTATTTTCATTGAATTTATTCGAAGATTTCTTCAAATTCTGTAAATGTCATCTTTTCAATGATATTCCAGAAAATCTGCAGAACATCTTTGAGAATAATGAGAAACCAGAATAATGAGAAAATAGAAACTAATAATTGAACAAGATTACTTATTTTCGATGATTTAAGATTAATTTTTATTTTCTCAACCTGTTCCTAAACAACTAATTAGTTTACTGTAGAATTTTTTTTACTTTTTGTGTCGTCGTTATTTAATAGTTTAAAAACTCTAACTCTAAAAACGTATCCACCTCCAAAGTAGGAGTTTAGAACAACGAATTTTAAAAAGTTTTATGCGTCTCAAATGAATCCGAAAGAAGTTTTCCACAACACTGCATAGTGCATACTCAGTTCAACTACCTTACACAGCCGGTCACTCCCTTTAGAACGATGTCCATTCCTATGCCAAAACATTATATTACAAAATAATCACTTCATATTTACTTAAGATAACATTCAAACTCTTTACATTGTTATAACAATATTAAAACATTATAATATCCATGAATATGCTATTAATTGCTCAAACAAAAATCATTAAATACAAACAACCCGTTTTTAACATTATAAAAATTCTACGATTAACAACTTAAGTTCTTTAAACTATTTTTAAATTACCGAAAGTTCATGACATCAAGTAAACGTGTTTATGTTACAGTGAGAATCATAAAATTTTTATTCAAAATGCCTTCAATTTACAGAAATAGACATTTATTGATAAAGTTATAATTTGATATTTTTAAATCAAGAATAATCAAATATCTTTAAAATAAAACCGTGACTACTGACTATAAGCTATCATAGTATTCTATAGAGTTATAAAGAGTCTGTTCACTATTTTTCAATTCGTTTTCTGATTCAAAATTTGGACTTGATCGTGCAACTAGATCCTGCTTCCGTTTAGCGGCTGAGGGGAAGTAACTCATAAAAATCCAAAACAAAACAAATCCAAATGCCTAGAAGTAAAATTTTTGGTAATTTCTGATCAACTGACCCCACCCCCTTTCCCGTAAAAATAGCAATCCATGCGACTATCTTTCCATCTGAACCGGCTGGAATATTGATCTTACTTTAAAGAACCGTTTATAAACACAAATACATTAACGATAGTAGTGACCGACATTGATAAACTTACCAATACTGCATTTACAAGAGTAGTGATTGACATTGATAAACTTACCAATACTGCATTTACAAGAGTAGTGATCGACATTAATAAACTTACCAAAACTAAATTTACAAGAGTAGTGATTGCCATTGATAAACTTACAAAAACCACACTTACAAGAGTTGTGGTTGCCATTAATAAACTTACCAAAACTACATTCACAAGAGTAGTGATTGCCATTGATAAACTTACCAAAACTACATTGACAAGAGTAGTGATTGCCATTGATATACTTACCAAAACTACATTTACAAGAGTAGTGATTGCCATTGATATACTTATCAAAACCACATTTACAAGAGTTGTGATTGCCATTGATAAACTTACCAAAATTACATTGACAAGAGTAGTGATTGCCATTGATATACTTACCAAAACTACATTTACAAGAGTAGTAATCGCCATTCCTTGGAAAGACAGTTTTCCATCAAGGGCGTCGTAAGTGTTTACAGGATCTACATCCGTCTTCTTCAGAATCGTTTCCTCACTTTAATATAAACCCGTTTTTATCAATCAGTTAATCAATAGATTTTTATTTCGTCAAAGCAAATCATAGCAAATAAAAAATCTTTCTATCGTGAATTGCCTTGCAGTGTATTGATTTTAAGAAAAGTTAAATGCTTTTTTTAAGTTTCAGAAAAAACTGTTGGTAGAATTCAAGCTTTAAAAATTGTTTATTTAGTGTTTCTTTTCGGAATTCCGTAGCGCGGAATTGCGGGGAATTCCAAGGCTTGCAATTGCATGCAATTATAGTCCACTTGCATTGGAAATCCTGATTTAATTGCACAGAATTTAAGTTCTTTCTGTAAAGAAATCGGTTGAAGTTTGTAAAAATTGCATAAGTAAATAAAATACATAGTTCTTTCATTTGTTTGTACAAAATGATCAAATGTTTTACTGTACAGAAGAATAAAATAGCTTTTGATGTTAATAAATTTATTGTAATTGCTTGCAAACAAAGGATGTTTTTTTTCTTTTTTTTCTCTGCAACTAAAAACATTTGTTTACCAGTTTAATCTGTAGACTTTACAATTTATATTTCAAGAACTTCAGGCCATAATTAAAGTCTAATCTTTTGTGGTTAACCCTATGTATATTGTGCAGGGATTGTTTAAACTGTGCACAAATATATATTTTAATTTTTCATTATTTATTTAAAATTTAATTCATCAGTGTCCGAATTTAATGAATTTGAACCATGTCAAAAATCCGCCAAAAACCGGTTTTAATTAAATCTTGAAAAAATTAATACGATTTTAATTAGAACCAACCATATTTGAGCCGCGACTTAAATTTAAGCCGCGGCTCAAATTCTTTAAATTCGGCCTCAGTTTTAATAAAATAACTCACTCTTCTCCAAAAGTGCCGAATGAAGCCATAACCAGAAATGTTACCACATTCAAAATATACTGAAACAAAATATTACATATATTGTTTTTAATTATATTTATACTTTTTTACTAGAGCTGGAAACCTTGTATTCTGGATACTTGATCTTGATCTTGTATTCTGGATACTTGATCTTGATCTTGTATTCTGGATACTTGATCTTGATCTTGTATTCTGGATACTTGATCTTGATCTTGTATTCTGGATACTTGATCTTGATCTTGTATTCTGGATACTTGATCTTGATCTTGTATTCTGGATACTTGATCTTGATCTTGTATTCTGGATACTTGATCTTGATCTTGTATTCTGGATACTTGATCTTGATCTTGTATTCTGGATACTTGATCTTGATCTTGTATTCTGGATACTTGATCTTGATCTTGTATTCTGGATACTTGATCTTGATCTTGTATTCTGGATACTTGATCTTGATCTTGTATTCTGGATACTTGATCTTGATCTTGTATTCTGGATACTTGATCTTGATCTTGTATTCTGGATACTTGATCTTGATCTTGTATTCTGGATACTTGATCTTGATCTTGTATTCTGGATACTTGATCTTGATCTTGTATTCTGGATACTTGATCTTGATCTTGTATTCTGGATACTTGATCTTGATCTTGTATTCTGGATACTTGATCTTGATCTTGTATTCTGGATACTTGATCTTGATCTTGTATTCTGGATACTTGATCTTGATCTTGTATTCTGGATACTTGATCTTGATCTTGTATTCTGGATACTTGATCTTGNCCGACAAGGAATGCGTCAATTCCTACCTTGAAAATCCACCAAATAGAATATTAAACCGGTTTTTTAAACTCAACTCTGTGGAAAATAAGATGCAGCTTGAATCCTAAAGCTCAAACTCTAAATAAGGCCCAACGACAGCTTAGTTCCGAGCCTTATTTTCCCTATTTTATAAATCGCGCGGCTCTGGAGGAATACTTGAAATGAAGAGATTAAGCATTGCATCCTCAAATAAAAAATGGCCGCAGCGGATATCGATCAAGGGATCGTGATTATGAGTATCCAGCACAAAAGTTCCCAGCTCAGAAAATTGTACAGCAACAATTTCCCAAGGATGTAATGCAAGGAAAGTTATTTCAGAAGTGTACACATCTTTTGTACTGCAGTGTACTTTCTCTGGGCGGTAATGTAAACACAAGACGGATGTCAAAGCCTGACATGGGATCCATCTTTCACATAAAAAAATCAATGAAATATTCTGATCATAGGAAAATTATGTGAATTATCAAAATTATCAAAATTTAATGCTTGTAACCTCCTCGGATACTAAACGAACACTGATGCATCTATTCTTGTTTACAAATTCCGCCCAGAGAGAACTGGTTTCAATATGTACGCAGAGTATACACGACCGCAATTAATTTTCCTTGCATTACACCCTTGCTATTTCCCAAAAGTTAAACCGAATGATCGATGTGGTTTAAAAAACTTACATATCCTGTAGATATAGCAATATTAGTTGCTGCTGCGGTGGGGTCTGTGAGGAAAACTATTAATTCTTTTGCGTTCAGATCCATTAGAGAGAGAGGAGACCCCTTCCCTTGAATAACAATATTATATTGCAAAATATATATATACATATATATAAATGCTTTGCTTGTCTTTTGGTCAGTTTGAATCCAATAAACGTCAAAACAGCTGATCGAACCGATCAAGCAGAATTTTTAAGTCAAACCCATGTATGTTCTCAGGTCTCTCAGGAAAGGATATTGCACATCATACGTTCCATTAAATCCAAATTTTTACAAGAAGACCAAAGACCCGCACTTTTGTATGGGTTATCCCTTCAAGGCCGAACGTTCACTTATTTGGGTAATTTCATGGTAAAATAGTTAGCCTATAGCGATTCATTGGTATTATACTTTTACTTTTCTAAGATATCTATGACCAGAGAAAAAGTCGATTTATCGGTTTTAATTCCAGCGGTATGATATCTTTACATAGACACTATTTACACTATTTAAACGTTTTTTCAGTATCAACAGCTCAAGTAAATCTAAAATTATCATATTTTAATGACATAATGTGTCAGCCATTATATAATAAAATATAAAATCTTTTGACTTTAAAATTAGAAAGAAATTCACGTTTTTCGTGATCAAACATGATTTAACAAATTAAAACGTTTAAGCAAAGACGACTCTCATAATTCTTGAAAATCCGCGATTTTTTTTTTATAAATCCGCAAAATTTTTTTCTTCTTTGTTATAAAAATCTAAACAAAAAGAACATGTTCACAATTTAAATAGAAGATGGGCGCGAAGCGCCCTAAAAGCCTAGTAGATAATAAGAGGCTATGTAGTTTATCCTCAAATTTCCCAAGTAAGTGAACGGTCCCTTTAAGACAAAACTCAAATCTGTAATGAATGTCCTATTAATACATAAATACTGAAATCTTAGCATTTTAAAAATCAAATGATTAATAACTATTTATCTCTTCGTTACTGGGAGGCAGTAGGGATGCAATAAATATAGGAGGAAATATATAACTGTTTGCTTGTTTGTATCCAATGAACGCCAAAACGGCTGAACCAATTGGGCCCAAATTTTGTGTGGGACCTCGTGTGACCCCAGGGAAGGTTTATGGATGATTGAATTTTAAATAATTTCCTGTAACAAAATTCGATTTTTTAAAATTTTGAAAATCCACGAAATTTTTTTACAAGATCCGCGAAATTTTTGTTTTGTTTTGTTTTACAATGTATACAAAGAGAACATGTTCACAATTGAAACAGAAGATGGGTGCGAAGCGCCCTAATAGCCCAGCAATATTAATTTGATTTCCATTTTTTTACATTATTTAAATTTTTACCTAGATTCCAAACTTCGCTGATGATAAACCATCCTACTGATTTTGTTATTAACTAAAACAAAACAAAAATATAAAAAGAATAAAATTATGTTTATTTACAATTTATCAATGAGGAAATCAATATTTATTCCCAAACCATGAAAAGGTTTTTTGAGAATTGAAATATGTGATCTTTTTGGTTGCTAAATTTAAGTGCTTTTTTTCAATAAAACAAAAATAATAATTTGGAAATAAGTCAAAGCTTTTGAATTCAAGTTCAACGAACCTACCTCAAATATAACAACGAACAAAAATCCGATGACCGTTGAGTCGTTTGTCAAGAAGTCGTAAACACTCGCTGAAAAAGTCACAAGAATTAGGTTTGATATTCATGATAAATTTTCTTGAAATTCATGGAATTTTCTTTTCAGACCAAAATCCAAAATTGTGCCGGAAAAGAACAAAAATCTAATGGACCAATTATACACGACGTCACAAGTGTCAAATATAACGAGGAAAACGAAATTTTCTAACATTAGTTGACATGTTTTCCAAGATCAAATAAAAAAGTGTAAAAACAGAAAATAAAGAACACAAAATTGCACTTATAAGATAAGCACTTAATTGTCACTATTACTAACAATTTTGTTGGACACATACAACTGTTGACACTTGTGACCTAAGAATACAGCTGTACTGAGAGTGTTGCCATCTATTGTATTTGCTCATATAGAGGTTGAGATGGTACCGTGTATGTGAATCTAACATGTCACCCTGCAATTAATGGCCACTTAAAACTACTTACAAAATCTTTTTTAATAACTTCTGCAATAGTTTTTAAAAGGATTGATTCCCAGAAAAACCCCACAATTTTTTGGAAATTGAAACCAAAGAGAATAGAATATATTAGAGTGGAATTTAAAAAAATCCCTCGGTATGAATTTTGTCAGTCCCTTTCAGCCTGAAAGGGACTGATTATGCGCAGTACCTGTGCATCACACTAATACAGTATGATCCCTGGACATATCTATTCCAATTTCTTTGTTTTATAAAGTTGTTAAATAACTTTAAACATGTGTATTTGCTATAGGCGAATTAAAATCATTATTTTATTAAACATTAAAATGTAAAAATCGACGATTGTAAAGTATAAAATACCTACAATTATAGGAATATGTTTTTAATGAAAAAAAAACATATTAGATTGATTTCTATCGACGTGTGCATGAAAGGTTGTCAAAGAAAAAAGATTTAGAAAAATGAAATAATTTTTAAGAACTCTTTTTTCTAGGAATATATATTCCAAGGCCCAAAGGTTAAAGAGCACAGATATGGGAAGTACACCTGCAGTATGGAAATAGTACAACAAAATGGCCGTTTTACACCTTTTTCGAGTAAATTCCCCTCTAATATATTATATTCTCTTTGATTTAAATACAACAAATACAGGGGATATTAGTTCCAAAACTAACACTTGGCCCATTTCTAACCCTGAGCGTTAGAAATGGGCACATATTGGGAGGCTGGGTTTTTAGGATCCCGGCCCATATCGAAAGTAAGAAAGTCGATTGTAAAAACTATAACCAACATATTTCCTGAAATCAAAATTATAAAAATTTTATATTAAAACAAAATCGTTTTCAAGACAATGTCCGGTTTTCCATTATGGAACATATCCTAAACTTAAATCATTGTCGCATTTTCGAGACAAAACAAGCTTTCCCGAATTTAAGTATAATCCGCAATTCAAAACAAAACTCATTTTCACAACTTACAAAATAAATCACTGAAAGCAAAAATTCTCAAAAAGACTAAATTAAATGCTTATCAAAATTTTTTTTCTTATCAAAATATTTTGTAAGTGCAAAAATTCTTTAAAATTGATATGAATTCGAGTATTAAACTTATAAACAGGATTTGTTACAAAAACGCGACATGGGCTGAAATGCAGTTCTTGTTTCAAAACAGGGGCGGATACAGGGGGGGGGGGGGGGGGGACATTTGCCCCCCCCCCCCTGAGATTTCGAGGGAAAAAATTTCCCAATTTGATAAATGTTATTGTTAACGATAAATTTAGAATTAGCAATGCAGTTCTTGTTTCAAAATATGGATATGTTCGAAAATGAGATCAAGTAGGATCAAAAACTAATTCTCACACCTTATTATTAGTTTAAAGTTGAAATTTTTAGTTTTAATATATAGTTTTAACCATTTTTTTAAATGTATGGTGTAGTTTTGTTCTTCTCGGTTGAATGTAAAATATATATACACTTGTACGCACCTCCGCCTCGTAAGTAAAAGTAAATTCAACGTATATGAAGCAAAAAATCTGACCGCGTCAACCTTGTTGCACCGGCTAGTACTGTTCAAGAGCTAGGTACAGTACAAACTGGGATCGGAAGAGTTGGCCCGGCTCGGAAATTCAAATGTGTTAGATAGTTGGAACTAATTTCCCCTGTAATCTTAAATAACGTATTCGTGCATTTTTTTAAATGTCAAAATTTATCAAGCATTTTAAAAAACAAAAAATTATTATCATGTGATTTTTCAAAGAAATTTGGATTTTGCACAAACTCAAATTTTACAATCTCTATATCTGTACAACCGGATGGCGGATAGTGTAAACATTGATCTGAAAGAATTCATAATTTGAAAAAACAAACGTCTACTACTATCGCCGTGCTTATAGGAATAGAAAATCAAAATTGGGACCAAAAAAACTTAGCTTCTCCGAGATGTTTTTTTTTACCTAAATCCACTTCGTTCTTTCTCGTAAATAATCTACCCTGCTCATAGAAAATTTTATTATTTTAGTCTTTTTCATAAATAGCCAAAACTATTTCTAGATTTTCAAATTTTTAATTTCTAGATTTTAACATTTCAAGATTTTAAAAATTCCAGTTTTGAGCTTTTAAGATTTAAGATTTTAAGTTTTTAAGATTTAACGATTTTTATAGATTTTAAGATTTCTACACTTATAGTTTTAAACAGGAAAATCAAAAACCGAATAATTTTTTTTAAACCTATAGAATAATTACAGTTTAAAACCTATGAAATAATTACAGTTTAAACCTATAGAAATATTACAGTTTAAACCTATAGAATAATTACAGTTTAAAACCTATGGAATAATTACAGTTTAAACCTATAGAATAATTACAGTTNATGAATTCCTTTATCTCAATCATGTATCATACATATTTATTATGTATGGCCTGTTAATAGTGCTTGAGACGTGGAGCAATTCAATAAAGTAGGGCTTTCAACCGTATTTGAAAAGGGGGTGGGACATGGTCCTCTTTTTAGGGGCCCATATCTAACTTGTTTTCAGAATACATTTCCGTATGTTTGCATGTTCCTAATGTGAAAGTAAAAGTTTGAAAAAATGATTTAGTACGTATATTCTAAAATTTGCCTGTAATGTATGTTCTTGAACTTTTTCTTTAGAGGTTTTTCTTATGTATCTTAAAACGTTGCGTTTTTATATTCTTAATCGGTTTCCTGTTATTTATTCCTAAATGTTTTCCTTTTATAATAATAATAATAATAATAAAAATAATAATAAGAATAATAATACTAATAATAGTCATGGATAAAAATGCAATGAATGAGACTGGTTTGAAATCTAGAATCCTGTTTGAAATCCTAAAATGAAAGCACTTAAATTAATTGGAACTCCGACATGACAGATATCAATTTTTCTTCAACCCCTCACTTCATTCAATAATTCTTTGATTATTCAAGCGCATGCAATCTGTTCTTTCCTTGTCAATCCCGGATCCTAACATCTCATTTGCCGCCAATTGGCTTGATGTCAGCAGATTTGCCGCCAAAGAAGTTGCTGACATTAGATCTGAGAGGTTTGAAGCAGTTGACACCTCGACAGCAAGGAGTAAGCTGAGTATTGTTAGCTTCATTCTTCTGGAACATGGAAATGGGTTTGGAAACCGTCGTTAATTTCAAGTGAACCTTCATTTTATTAAATATTCGTATATGCATTATACCCTGTACCTTTGTGTTAGAAAAATGATAAAGAATTGCTTTTTTTCTCTCTGAAAATTCCTGGTTTTTATTTGCATATTTATTGTGAAAGGGTTGGCATAATTATGTTTAGCAGAGACAAGGAAGTAATCATCATAAAGCTTATTCTTTCAAAGATAAAAACATCTTCTTTTAAGGTTACGTAGATCTGTTTAGAAGAGGGTAAGAGTTTCCAAATGAATTGTCCTGGATGATGTGCTAAGAAGAGGGAAAGAGTTTCCAAATGAATTGTCCTGGATGATGTGCTAAGAAGAGGGAAAAGGTTTCCAAATGAATTGTCCTGGATCCTGGATGATCTTTATAGAAGAAGTAAGCGTTCCAAATGAATAGTTCTGGATGATCTGTTTAGAAGAGGAAAAGAGTTTTTAAATGAATTGTTCAGTATGATCTGGTTAGAAGAATTGTCCTCGCTGGATGATCTGTATGGAAGAAGTATAAGTTTCCAAATGAATTGTCCTGGATTGTCTACATATAAGAAGTAAGAGTTTTGAATTGTCCTGGATGATCTGTATAGAAGAGGGTAAGAGTTTCCAAATGAATTTTCCTGGATGATCTGTTTAAAAGAGGGTAAAAGTTTCCAAATGAATTGTCCTGGATGATCTGTATAGAAGAGGGTAAAAGTTTCCAATGAATTGTCCTGGTGATCTGTTTAGAAGATGGTAAGAGTTTCCAAATGAATTGTCCTGGATGATCTGTATAGAAGAGGGTAAGAGTTTCCAAATGAATTTTCCTGGATTATCTGTTAAGAAGAGGGTAAAAGTTTCCAATGAATTGTCCTGGTGATCTGTTTAGAAGATGGTAAGAGTTTCCAAATGAATTGTCCTGGATGATCTGTATAGAAGAGGGTAAGAGTTTCCAAATGAATTTTCCTGGATTATCTGGTTTAAAAAAGGGGTTAAAGTTTTCCAATGAATTGTCCTGGTGATCTGTTTAGAAGAAGGTAAGAGTTTCCAAATGAATTTTCCTGGATGATCTGTATAGAAGAGGGTAAGAGTTTCCAAATGAATTGTCCTGGATGATCTGTTTAGAAGATGATTTTACTGAATATTCAAGCAAGAAGTTTAATTAGACTCAACCAGTAGTTCTGTCAGTTGCGGGTTTAAGCACGTGCTAACGGAACTATATAGGACATGGGATAATAGGAGATAATAGGACAGAATAGGGGATAATAGGAGATAATAGGACAGAATAGGGGATAATGGGAGATAAGAGGACAGAATAAGGGATAATAGGAGATAATAGGACAGAATAGGAGATAATATAAGATATTAAGAGAGAAAAGGGGATAATAGGAGATAATTGGCGATAATAGGACAAAATAGGGGATAATAGGACAAAATAGGTGATAATAGGATACATAACACGGGATAGAAGGGGATCATAGGAGATAATAGGGGATAATAGGAGATAATATGACAGAAAGGGGATAATAGGAGATAATACTACAGAACAGGGGATAATGGGAGATAATAAGACAGAATAAGGAAAAATGGGAGATAAGAGGATAGAATCTGGGATAATGGGGGATAAAAGGACAGACAGAATAGGGGATAGTAGAAGATAATAGTACAGAATAGCGGATAATAGGAAATAATAAAAGATATTAGGAGATAATAGAAAAGAATAAAAGATAATGGGAGAAATGATAGGGGATGATAGGAGATAATAGGACAGAATAAGGGATAATGGGAGATAAAAGGACAGAATAAGGGATAATAGGAGATAATAGGACAGAATAGGAGAAAATAGGAGATAATAAGAGAGAAAAGGGGATAATAGGAGATTATTGGCGATAATAGGACAGAATAGGAGATAATAGGAGACATAACACGGGAAAATAGGGGATCATAGGAGATAATAGGGGATAATAGGAGATAAAGGGAGATAATTTGACAGAATAGGAGATAATAGTAGATAATTTGACAGAATAGGAGATAATGGGAGATAATTTGACAGAATAGGAGATAATGGGAGATAATTTGACAGAATAGGAGATAATGGGAGATAATTTGACAGAATAGGAAATAATGGGAGATAAAAGGACAGGATAGGAGATAATGGGAGATAACAGGACAGAACAGGGGATATAATAGGATATAATAGGACAGAGAAAGGATACTGTGAGATAATAGGACAAAATAGGAGATAACAGGAGACAAAATACGGGATAATATGAGATAATAGGACAGAATAGGGGATAAGAGGATAATAGATATAAAACATGGTAGTATCATAGGAGAAAATTGAGGATAATAGGATGGAAGATAAAAGGATAATAGATACGAAAATGGTAATATATAGGATAGAAGAGGATATAATGGGACATGGAAGTGTCATGGGACAGAATAGGACACTAGAGGCAGTTTAGAACACTAGCGTTGCTATGTTAATTGAGACAAGACCAAATATTATATTTTAGTACATAAAGGAATTGAGTTTTTGTCGCAAATTCTGATTTTCTTATCCCTATATCTTTGCAATTCAATGTCAGAGGCCTTAGATATTTCAAGCTATGAATTCTTTTAAATCACATAATGATAGCTTGAAATATGAAATGGTTAACACTATCAGTTTTTCAAAGATGTGGGGATTAGAAAATCAGAATTTGTGACAAAAACTCAATTCCTTACGCATGTTTTTACGTATAGTTAGTTAGATATGTCAAAGAAACTTTGTACTATTAATAAATTAAAGAGTTGGAACAAGTGCATTGTCTCACTAGCTGTATCTATGCATCTTTCATGAAAGAAAGTAGTTTGTGCACTTATATAAATAAATATTTAAAAAGTTGTTTTATAAGTTTTATTACAAAACAAATTTAATTCAAATGTTTCTAAAACTATTTCAGCAAATAGCTATTTATATTTATATTTAATGGTCAAACTTTTTAATACAGGGGATATTAGTTCCAAAACTAACACTTGTCCCATTTCGAACACTGAGTGTTAGAAGTGGGCCAAATATGCAGGGTTATCTTTTTCAAGAGTATATATCTTTAAATCCGAGACGAGTAGAACAAAATTATTTTTATATTAATAAAAAATGGCTAAAACTATATGTTGAAACAATAAATGTCAATTTTAAATTAATAATAAGGTGTGAGAATTAGTTTTTGATGATTCTTGATTTCATTTTCGAACATGTCCCTACTTTGAAACAATTACCGGATTTCAACTCATGTCGCGTTTTCGGTTTTGAGACAATTACCGGAATTCATATCAATGTCAATTTTCAAGTATTTACGCACTTTCGTAACAAACAAGATTATTTGATAAGGTAAAATATAAACAAAATAGAAAATAAAAACAAACTGTTCTTTTATATAATTTAAAAATCATGAAAACATTGAGAAATCAAAAAATTAATATCATTTGTTCTTACAATATAGATTTAACCAGAAATGCGGGGAATTGATTGTATAAAATGCTTGAAAATAAATCATCGATATTCTCTAATTCAACAGATAAAATGTGGAAACTTAGACCCTAGAAATAATTCAGAAATAGTCTACATAAAATAATTTTTGTTTTCAGTGATTTATTTTTTAAGTTATGAAAGTGGGTTTTGTTTTGAATTGTGGAATATACTCTAAAACGGGAAAGTGGGTTTTGTCTCGAAAACGCGACAATGTTTCAAATTCAGGATATGTTCGAACATTGTCTTGAAAACGGTTGAGATTTAATTTAAAAAGAAATTATAATTCAGAATTGTTGTCCTCGGCATGTTTATTAAAATGTTGGCTA